CCCGGACACAAAGCATGGTATTCCCATAAGACTTCTTGTTTTTAAACTATTGAAGCAGAAAATACATTACGACTGCATAAAAAAAAAAATTAACTGATGCATTAAACAGCGGGGTTCCCTTCGCACAGCAGCTCGGAAAAGAAAATAAATATGATTGGCCTCTCACTGAAATGACTAATCACAGGTGGTAACTATAGTAAGTGAGCTCTGAAGGGAGACATAGTGCAAAGAAACTCTACAAGCTTATTGGCAAGCCGAGGCGCAGTCACAGAAAAAAAAACAGAGCAGATTGTGAGAATCCCTCCAACATGTGAGATTATTTACTTTTTTCTTCGGAGGAGATTTACATCGACTCAGGGAAACCATAATAAGCCTGTCCTCAGATGCTGGAAACATACATCTGACAAACTGCGAGGAAAATGTGGTACAAGATTAGTCAGTCAATGCCATTCTCAAGAGCAGATCGGGGAATTTAACCATTTAATCCCTCGACAAGGATCGGCCGAATAGAAAGAAAACGGCCTCGACAGATTAATGCCAAATCAGAAAAACTCAGGGCAAGATTTGATCCCCTTTATTGATTCCTGTCTTCGATGCGTTGCTGATGCTGCGATTTGAGTTGAAACAGAGACACATATCAAGGATTTAAAGCAGAGAATTGCAGCTGCGGCTTCCTGATAAACGTGTTTTCCATCCTGATCCAACATGGTTGACTATCTAGTGTGAAGAAAGCAAAAGGAGCAGGGGGAGGACACCCAGCCGACACTAAACACCACAAAATAACAACCACAAGGAAACACTGGACATGATGCCGAACTGCGTGTTCTGACAGAACAAGCTGTCTGGTAACATTAGACAGCCAGTGTCTGGGACAAACATTACTTGTGGTATTTGACTATTCTTCCGTATGCCCTAAAACAGCTTCACTCAACAATCCAAATAATTTCGCCATCACAGAGACGAGCGGTGAGGCCCTCCTCACTCGAGGCCTTGACGCATGCATTTACTCCTCGTCGTTACCTTAAATCCTGAACGTAAACTACAGCCTCCAAACAATGGAGGGGCGGACTCCGACATCTATTCAGTCTTTAATGCCATTTGTGCAGGCTCCTGCATGCGAAGAACACTCCTAACCTTTCCATTATTTAGGTTCAGTGCTTATCGTCATGTTTTATTAATCAATTTTGTGAAATGCAGCCTTTCTGCGGAGACCACCGGGCCTGGAAATGCGCATCGTGAGCTCACAAAGACAACGGAGAATGTGCTGTTGGTGTACAGAACAAAAACTTGAGCCAATTCAAACATTTCGCAGAAGAAAATAAATTGATGAAAGGCAACTCCATTTTCCAGAATCATAACAGACAAGAAAAAAAGGCTCTACAGAGACATTTCACGCAGGGTTAGGAGAAGGATTTGCTAAAGAGCTGCACCACAATGAGCTAAAAGCTCAAAGAGATGAAGTTTGAGTGGCCCAAGTACCTCCATTAGTTTCTACGGCGAACAGGGAAGCTTAATCTCCTGTCAGCTCCCCTCAAGCTAGTCTCCCAGGACTCTGCGCTCTCTCTCCCTCTCCCATCCATCACCTCAGCAGGGACCAAAGGGAGACTCTCCAAAGGAACGGGGATCAGAGCAATTTGCATTCGCACTCAAACCATCAAGGCCCCAACAATCCTGTGGTGGCTCTCTCTCCGTTTCACGATATCGCAAACTGTCATCCGAAATGAAATGTAAAATGCCACAGCACGGCCGTTGCAGTCTTTTCATCAGAAGAGAAAAAGTCAAAATGCTAATTGCAATGTTCCGGCGGGGTTCCTTCCGCGAGTCGTCTGAGGGAAACATTCCCCTTCCCCGTTTCGGTGGTCAACATTAAACATCCATATCAACACTATTCATGAATATGCCTGCAATTGTCCTTGTGACCACCACCGACTGAGCGATCAATCAATCCAGCTGAAGTACGCCACATTTCATACACACAAAAGGTGGACTTCGGTGTGCTTGAACTGAGTCTGAACACTAAATACACGGTCCATCAGCACAACATGTGAATGATTGTCACGAGTCAAAAAGCTTGTGCATAGAAATCAGGCGGCTAGTTGCGCAATTAACCCTGCAGAGTCAAACAACTAGGAGGGAACAACAGGAAACATCAGTCCACCACTCCCTGGGAAAACTGGGAAGCGGCGAGGTCCAGGCGAGGGGTGGTGTAAATCTCACTGACGGAGCCGCGTGCCACCTTCCCGCCAGGCCTTTCCTAACCGGCCTAGAGCCGGTTGTGGCGCACCGCCACGGAAGAAAATGCACCTGGCGAGGGCCAGTCAGCAGCCGGGCTACTGTAAAAGAAAGGGGTGCGTTCGATTTACAGCCTAACACAATATACAAAGAGAGCAACATCGCGAAATGGATTGGGGCACAATAATCGTTTGGATTATCTTGTTTTCATAATCGCAGGAAGCCAAAATCCTAATTAGGAATAAAATCTGATTAATCGCCCAGCCCTACTACCAAACATTCTGGAGGAAACATTCAATGAGTCGCATGGCATGACTGACAGAACTGAACAACAGGGGTCTCCAGCAGAAGGATCCAGCTGCCAAGTCATTACAAAGATTAGAATTCACAACTACACAATTTCCCTTCCTGAATAATAACACATTCAAAGTAGATGCTCGTCCACCATTCAGCCTTCATTTCCCAAATGTTTAATCCAACTAAGATGAGGAATTAGAGCTGGAAAATCTCTTTATCCCACCGCTGAGAGTGATATCTATATGGGCTCGTACAGCACCAGGACCAGGGGGACGGAGCCAAGCCATAAACAACCACCTGGTTGCTAACTCAGTTCACACTCAATTAAATATCAGACTGGAATACTGGAGAGACGGAGTGCTAATATAAGAAAGCAGGGGCAGAGCTGCTATTATTATTCTTCACAGATCCATTATTCTCAATGTTCCTTTTATTTCGTAATCTATTTGGCGAGCAGCTCGGAATATTTTCAGTTTATGAATTTGGCCCCCCCTTGTGCGTTCCACAAATGGTTATTACCGTGACAGGCACAAAATGGCCTTCCCCCGATGCATGACTGCAACAGGCTCTGCTGCTACTTGCATTTGTTAGGGCCATTCTGCCACTTGTTTGTGCTTCTGTAATGAGGGGAGAGTCTGGAACACGTTGTATATCAATTAAGCCATCAAAGACGGTGGGCATTTATGGTAACGCCCTTTAACCTCGGGGTGAAAGACCAGATCCTTGTTTTTGCATGTCAAAAGAAATGGGTCCAAACAAACTGCTGTTTTTCCAAACGCTTCCCTGCATGTAGAGACCACGAACTGTGCCGTCACTTTGGCTTCAAATAAACTACAGCGATGAACAAAAGAAAGAAACAAGAGCAAAGTTATTCGCACGACGTCTAATTAGGCTTAGGGGGAAAAACACCTCCCGCTTCTGCTCAAATAAGACGTTTTCCAGGAGGCTTTTTAAGTGCAATTTTTGAGACATGTTCCGCCCTCTTGATTGAACAGCTTCAAAAGCTTTTCCACCGCGAATCCCAAGGGAACCAGTTAATCCTGATCTTCTCCACAAGCAAAGGGATCATCTCAATGTAAATCAGACAGGGGCTTTTGATCAAAGTATTCAATCGGCCTCAAAACACGTGACGCCACAAGGAGCCTGGCCGCGAACAAGGTCAACGTCTCGGTGCTTCTCGAGCTCGAAGGACGTGAAAAAAAAAAAAAAAAAAAAACACACCAGAGATTTTAGAAACATATCGGCCCTAGAAAATAATTTTCAGACCGGGAGAGTCTGTCGGAGAGAACGAGGATTCCATGGTCATTCAAAACATGATCTGACGTCTCTTGCCCACACTTGACCCTCTTCCATTCCTTTCTTAAAACAGGGGAGCAAGACAGACTTTACTTGCCCAACACGTAAACAAACCAGCAAACTTTCAACTAAGCCTCAAACAAAACAACAGCCCCCCCACTGGGTAATGGATCACAAAGACACACACAAACACACAATCAGGTGTACACACACACACACATAACATGCCCTCTCATTGTTGCCATTGCTTTGTTCGCCAATTAAAAGGTTGTCAATACAACCTAAATAATGATGCTCCTTCCGATTAGAGCCAAACACTCGTATTAAGCGACTTAAATGTTTAAATAATTAGGCCCACTTGAGGAAGCTCAGGATGATCAATGTCAAATAATCCCTGCGTTTATCAAACCACCAGTGCTTCCCTCAACACATCATCCTCCGCCTCAAAACACACACACACACACACACACACACACACACACACACACACGCGCACACGCCATCCCTCTGCTAAAATCTATAAAGTATTCAGGACAATTTATCAAAGTAGGACAGGAGATCGAGGACAAATGTCAACACATCCTGAATCACTCTTCCGGACTGAGTCACTCAGAAAATATCATTTAATGGCCAGTAAAATATGAGGGATTTGCACCTAATGGATCCTTGAGATTTTTTTAAATAATTTACAAGATTCAACTAACACACAGGAGCTGCGGATTAGCAGGCCGCTGGTTTCAATTATCACCTAGGAGCACTTTACAATGAGACCCTGGGACAACTTCTGGCCTATACGGTTTTCTGCACACACCGCCATCTGCCTGCAGCGCGGGTAACTGCGCTATTTTGCAGCCAAATAAGTATTCCGCAGCCGTTTCGATGGAGATTTGATTTTAAGATTGAGAAGAAAAAAAAAAAAAAAAAACACTTTCCAGTTTTCTTTCACTCATTTGCACATCTTGCTGCAAAACAGAAACACACACAGAAACCGAGCCATCATATCGATCCACCCATGCATGCATCAACCAAGTGTGTGTCACTGCAAAACCCACCACGCCGCACAGCACGTACACTCACGCGTGCGCTCACACACACACACACACACACACATTATGGAGCAGGGAGGTGATGACAAAAGAAGGTGCGTCGTGTCTCAGATGAAGTCTGCGGCTTACCTTGGACGTGCAGCGCTACTAGGAGTATCCATATCCCCGCACACATCGCCATGGCGCCTCCTCAAACTATCCGGATCTCGTCTGATAACCTGAGAGTGGATGAACGGAGAGGAGGGGAGGGAGGGGGGCTCACTCGAGACGACAAAGACCGAGCATGCAACTTCTGCAAAATCCTACTTCGGAAATCCCGAGCTAGTCTTCCTCCCTCGCTGCGCAGTTTAGGAGACTTTCGCAAAACTAGAGGATCGGTGTTGCGCTCCTCCGTGCCAAAGCATCAATGTTTACGCCTGCGGCGATTCCTTTAGCTGACGGAGAGTTTGCACGAAGTAGAACCAGGGGTTTCAAAAAAAAAAAAAAAAGAAGAGATCCAAGCGGCTGTATATTTGCAGTTTTTCTTGTTAGGTATACAGCAGGCGAGGAGAGACAGAGAGTTGTGTTCGTATCAAAACAGCGCTTCTAGTTGAACCATCTAGCCGTTGTCGCTCCCTCCATCCACCGCAGCTGCTGCAGGACTCGCTCCCTCCTTTTCCAGCGTTGTGGATCAGAGGTAAAGTGGGCGGGAGGTCTTCGATCGATGCTGCGCTGGGGAAGTTTCCAACACTCGCAGAGTTCCTCCGGGAAGAAATGTCACCTTTTCGCAAAAAAATTGGACACAGCACCTACCAGATATAATCTGCTGGCACCGTCCCTGTTTTAGTTCCTTAAGTTCCCGATGCTCCCGGTCCGCAGCCCACGGCCAGCCGGAGAGATCAGCACACCAGGCCGGTGAAGTTGTTGTAACTCTGGAAATGGTGGGATGCGTAACCCCCCCTTTCCTCCTTATTTTCTCTTTTTTGTGTGGATGCAATACAGTGTAGCGTTGTCCAGCTATGCGCACCGCCCCGCTGATCTGCCACTACAGTGTGCTGCTCGATACCGCTGACGCTTTGTGAGAGATCGGGATCGGGTGACGTTGTGCAAAAGGGAGGAGCCTGGATTGTCCTGCAAAAAGCATCGCCTAGAAAACACACACACACACTCTCACACACGCGCACACTCACAGCAGCCTGGTGGTGGCCACCTAGGAAGTGCAGCGACTCTCAAACTTTTCCTGCGCGTTCAGGGTCTCTGACGTGACTCGTTTAGAGCAGAAGGTGATACAGTTGTGCGCAAAGCAATACATATATTATTTCATGAGGATAGAGAGAGATCCATCGAAGAGACATGGTGTGGATGTGGGAAGAGGACATTAATGTAGCGTGCGCAGTCATGCCGGAGTGAAATAATGCATTGTGAAATAGACTACCGCTGATATGTTGAAATCCCACAGCCACCGAAACCTTTGAGACGGAAGGGGAATGAAACAAATGCAGAGCCCCTCCCCTCCTAACACACACACATTTTACATTATATGTGGAGGAGCTGCATTAACCCCACTTTGATTTGATATTCTACATGTTTGTTCAATTACATCCGCACCACCCATTTTCACCCAAATAGAAAATGAAATAAATCAAATTAAACAAGCATGAAATGGAACTATGATACATACATGTTGAGCACCACCGTTCTGCAGCAAACCCCCGAATAAAACACATTTTTTGGATTATTACAGCACTAAATGAGTTTAATAAGTGAGAAAGTGTCAACGACCCCTGCAGCACCCCAAAACCTCACGTGAACCACAAGTCTAACAAACATGTCAGGGTGGGGCCGTGAAAGCTGAAATATGACCCATGTGGTTTAATGGTGAGGTGAAATTTCGGCGATTAAAACTAGGGGAAGCAACACTGGATGATGATCTTAGATGGGAAACATTTTCCTTATATCTTTAATTATATATGTATGTGCATGGGAGGTGGTGGAACTGACAAACACTACCCCACAGTACCCCCAGCCCCCCTTTTCCTTCCTTCCTTCCTTCCTTCCCTCTTTCCTCCTCACCCCTGAGCCAGTCCATCCTGTGTCTCCAGAAGCGACCAAACAGGATCAGGTCTGTGAAGGTACAGCCTGTAAATGTACGGGAGGGTGAATGTGATAACACTTCCCTCTTGTGGACAGTATTCTTCTGATAATTGAAACAGACCAAGTCCATCATGCTTAATAACGCATAGTCGATTGTGCATTTTGGGGTCTGCAGGCTCGCACGTGGTCAAAATCCGGTCCATGGTCACGATCCACTATCAGCGCCACAGAATGATCTGCTGAACAACAAGAGAAATTACCTGGCATGACAAAACAGCACTGGGACAATTGGGTATTAGGGTCAGTGTCGCGTTTCGGGGTACGGCAACATAAATCATGCTGGATAAAGTGGAAAAAACGCATGCGTCACACAGTATCTTTTCTATGTGAAAGGCTGTGCAGTTAATCAACATGCCAAACCCAGTGAAAAACAGACTAGTGCGTCTGTACTGGGATCATACAGATAAACTCCGTAGGACTTGACATTTCGTCTTGTGAAACACAAAGCTGCAAAGGGAATACAAAGCGGCTGGCGCTTGAAATTCTGGATACTTCCTCCAAAGTAGTGTTTTTAGAGAAATGGAATCATTTAAACTAAATGCATTGCAGCTGAAATGTATTACTGTCTATTGACAAGGGACACGTGGAAGGAGGAAATCCATGGGTATCACGCAAGTTTGCAGGGGAATTTCCAGGGTTGAATAGAGTATGAATTAACAATGTCAATTGTACACCACGTTGTACCATTCAGAAGATAATCACTTTACTTCATAAACCTTGAAATGTCAGTGCAGCAGCAGCAGCAGCAGCCTGGAGGTATATGCGATGGGTAGCAGGTTAAATAGATAAGATAGACAGGAGCAAGGGAATACAAAATCCTTTCCTTCAGCGCTGACTACTTTGAATGTGTCCTTGAGCAAGGCACTTTTACCGGTAGCTGCTCCAGTGGCAGGAGCTCACTGGTCAGCACTGGTTTCACACATCAAGAGAGTGAGTCGAAATCTTCCATGGTCGGCCAAACTTCCCGTGACGAATAATTGCAAAAAAAACTCTGGGTTTGCCCCTTGCCTTGGTGCATTAACTCCGATGCCCCCTTCATTGATCGGTCGAGGTTATGATTGATTTACAGGCGAGCTGATGAAATCTGATTCACTCGTTCTGAACTACAGCTTTTGCCAAGAGCTCGGGGCTGGGTCTCTGCCAATGTGGAGATTTAGGGAACTGTTGCATGTGAAAAAGAGGCGATGGCTAAATTAAAGGGGGAGGCTCAAGAAAGGTAACAGATGAAGGGTTTTTGGATTAATACATCAATGTCAAAATAAACGGTGATGATGCTTCTCACTACAGGGGGAATTGACGATTGAGTATTTTGCCGATGACAGTATTACTAATGTATTCATTTCAATTTTCCCCGGGCGCCTGTCATTGGCAGCCCACTGCTCCCTATATACAGGGATGGGTCAAATGCAGAGACAAATTTCCCCCTTAAAGGGATCAATACAGTATAATAAATTAAAAAATTTAAAAATTTAAATTTAAAGCTACTACGAGGAACTTTCTTTTTGTGATGATTTTAGCGGTCTCTGTGGACAATAGCGCTCGTGTCTCCAAGCACCAGCATCCCTTTAGAGAACCTCTAATTTTACTGCAGCAGGGTCTGACAGTCTGCCCCGCGCAGTCCTGGTTCTGGTTCCCCCGTGCCTCCCTTCCCTCCGGCGGGCCCAGCAATACGGCCTCGGCCTCCAACAGCGTGGTGTCGGTGTTGGCTCCCAGCGGGGGACCAGCGGAGCAGTGAGGCAAAGCTCTGCTCCATGCCGGAGGAGGAGACGCTGCTGCACGGCACAGAGCTCCCCACCTTTTGCCGGTGCTCCGGAGGCGCTGGAATCTGAGCTGAAGGAGTTTATTTTGAACATGTGTGCCATAAACCATTTTGTCTGATATCACAGGGATGACGGACATTGCGAATAGCCATATAGAAATAGTCAATATCCTCGTTGAGGTCTCGTTTGCTAATTTAGGTCAAATAGAGGCGTCAGTATTACATTGAGACTGTTTCAAAACTAGTTAAAAGTTCCTCACAGTAACTTAAGAAATGTAGACGTATTCAAACGTCACTTGAATTTGAGGTTCCATAACAAATACAGTAGTAGCCTACATGTTGTAGACTTCCAACATTGTATTACCTGTGAAAATTATCACATTTATCATGTGATATTTCATTATATTTATCATTTGATCAGATTTGGGAACTTTGTAATCTTATTTAATAATTTTTGATTTCTTATTATTTAAAAAAATGACCTCAATGCTGATTTACGGCTTCCTGTTCACCACGTAGGGGAAATGGCACATTTTCTAAAGAAAAGCCATGAAATACAGCCCAATGGAATTGTGTGATGTCATATATCAACAACTGTGACATCAGGTATGAGTTTAAATCTGCTTCAGTCCCACATTGTGTCATCGCCTCTGTCAGCGATGCAAACACTGATTCATAAAACACGGCGTGTCGCATTGGTGACCTGAAGTAAGCTGTCACAAACTTGCAATTGTGAGCTTGAAAGTGATGGCAGAAGTTTGGCACGGTGCTGATGTGCGAGACACAATCCAGGTTTTTTCGCTGTCCAGAATGGCATGAAATCTGCATTGGGCTCAACCCAAGTCTGCCTCCCTGGAGAGCAGACAACACTTTTGATCCAAAAGTGTTAGTTTCCCTCGCCTGAAAAAACATGTGCTGTGTGTTCTGAACAAAGACAGATCTGCAATGTAAAATTTGATCGCTCACATTCTTACATTACATCTTGTGTGTTACCAAACCTCGTAATATAAACATCTGGAAACAACAAACACTGCTGTTAAGTGATTTGCCTCAGCATTTAATACATAATTGTTTCACCTCAGACTTCGATCCTGTGGAAGCGAAAACTTGAATTACGGAGTGATTATTTTAGCCGTCGATGAACAGGAACGCAGATAATTACAGGTAATTTGTAGACATAATTTCTGCAGGACTACGCTGGGCACACCATAAAGCTCTTTGGTGACACGTTCACGTTCCCCAAAAACACACAAACGCAGCGTCGAAGAGGAAAAAAAAGCCCGTTTGATGCAGCTAATCTCCATCAGAGCGAACCAGGCAGGCCTTATCAACCTTTTACAGTGTTTCTATTGATAGAGGGACAGAAATTGTCTCTCCGGTATTAGCAGCATGTGCTCCAAGAAATCACTGGAAGAAGAAAAGAGGAAGTCGCAGAGAGTTTAATTCTCCCAGTAGGTTCTGAGAAAAGCCGAGAGAAGAGGGAAAACAGGTCACCCGAACTCCTCTCACCTCTGGTGCCTCGGTGTCGGACAAATTGAAGGGAAAATACCTCAGTGGCCAAACATGAATTGTTTATGAGGTTTTTCATAGTGGACAACGATGTGGTACTCTAGCATTTGACACCTGAAATTCAGTGGGACACATATGCAAATGGTAAGATCTAGAAATGTACAACATGTTATATGTGTAGCATATTTGATGGAACCCTTTGAACTGTTCTATATAGGATGAATAATGCTGTGATAAAGTGAAATACATTTCACCTTTAACGTGTGTTGGTGTTTGTTAGCATTTAAGAGTGGAGCTGGTATTTAACATCTTTATAGGGCATCAGTGGTCTCCCACATGAATCCTTGACATTTCAGTGTAAATACTGCAGTCAACGTGGTACAAATACTTACACACGTACTGGAGTACTGTTTCTGTCTAAAGTCCCTCTAAGGAAGCCGGAATCTACTGAATGCACTGCATTAGCCTGTAGTTTTCAAACAATTCAGAGATCTAATACAACTTAAGAACTGATCATTTTACTGTATTCAGGTCTTTAACAGCAGCGATTACTTACAGCATTTCACAGTCACTGATAATCAAAAGATTTCACTGATTTCACTTAAATCTGACATGTGCAGAGATATGTTTTATGGGTAAGACAAGGATCCAAATAGGTGCTTAATAATGA